CGCTCAGCCCAGTCAAAACTGTTCGCTGCTCTGGCACCCCAATGGTGGAACAAGCTCCCCCACGACGCCAGGACAGCGGAGTCACTGACCACCTTCCAGAGACACTTGAAACCCTACCTCTTTAAGGAATACCTGGAATAGTATAACAGTAATCCTTCTACCCCAACCCCCCCCACAATTATTTTTTTTTTAAGAGTGTTTGTCCCACTGGCTATCCTAAGTTGAATGCACCAATTTATAAGTCGCTCTGGATAAGAGCGTCTGCTAAATGACTTAAATGTAAATGTAATTTTAGATCGGGTTCAAGTCCGGGCTCTGGCTGGGCCACTCAAGGACATTCAGAGACTTGTCCCGAAGCCACTACTGCATTGTCTTGGCTGTGTGCTTAGGGTCGTTGTCCTGTTGGAAGGTGAACCTTCACCCCAGTCTGAGGTCCTAAGCACTCTGGAGTAGGTTTTCATCAAGGATCTCTCTGTACTTTGCTCTGTTCATCTTTGCCTCGATCCTGACTAGTCTCCCAGTCCCTGCCACTGAAAAACATCCCCACAGCATGATGCTGCCACCACCATGCTTCACCGTAGGGATGGTATTGGCCAGGTGATGAGCGGTGCCTGGTTTCCTCCAGACGGGACACTTGGCATTCAGGCCAAAGAGTTCAATCTTGGTTTCATCAGACCAGAGAATCTTGTTTCTCATGGTCTGAGAGTCCTTTAGGTGCCTTTTGGCAAACTCCAAGCGGGCTATGATGAGGATTTTTCAGTAAACTATGATATAAACAAAGTTAATCACAAACATGACGAACATGGAGTCAGGATTAAACACCTTCGCTTTGTAATTATGGGGTATTGTGTGTAGATTGCTGAGGAATTATTTTTATTTAACCAATTTTAGAATACGTCTGTAACGTAACAAAATGTGGAAAAAGTAAAGGGGTCTGAATATTTTCCGAAGGCACTATACATTTTAGAAATTCATATACAAATATAGAAAGCATTTAAAGAGAGAACTAAAAGGTGTGCAACATGAAAATATTGTCTCATTTACATGGTGTAATTAAATGTATTGACGGTCCCCAACTAGCCCTGGAGATAGACTATCCAAAGTAAAACCACATTTGCCACGGTTGCACACCAGCCAGCTGAAGCGAATTGGCTAAAGAATTTGGCTAACTCTTCCCACCTGTAAACACACACACGAGACACCCACATCAAACCACACTCCAAAATCAACTCATGTTTGAATTCAGTCATGGCCACTAGCATTTCTTAATGAACCAAATCTAAAACGAGGCTCAATCAGGAAGTTCAGCCACCCTTTAAGATTCCGAATCATTTAAGGCAGACACAGGGCACTCAAGCTGTAAAACAATGGTCTGGTCCAGAAACAAACCCTAGAGAGCAGGTCTTTGCTTAGCACGACAACCTCTTTCAGTAAACCTTTCTAATCCACTTTGTTGGTGTCATGACAACTTGTAACAGTCTTTTCAGAGTGACCCCGGATCGAACATTTGTTTGATAAAGGGTTTGATAAAGGACAAATGATTCAGGTTTATAAGCTGTGAACTTACAGTAGAAGTCTACATACAGATGCAGGTTTCCATAAGTCACTATAACATTCTTGATATCACTGACAACTTCAACAGGGAAGCTGCATCAACAGCATCATCCCAGAAACCCTAGACCCACTCCAATTCGCATACCGCCGCAACAGATCCACAGATGACGCAATCTCAATCGCACTCCACACTGCCCTCTCCCACCTGGACAAAAGGAACACCTATGTGAGAATGCTATTCATTGACTACAGCTCATCGTTCAACACCATAGTGCCCTCAAAGCTCATCACTAAGCTAAGGACCCTGGGACTAAACACCTCCCTCTGCAACTGGATCCTGGACTTCCTGACGGGCCGCCTCCAGGTGGTAAGGGTAGGTAACAACACATCTGCCACACTGATCCTCAACACTGGGGCCCCTCACGGGTGCGTGCTTAGTCCCCTCCTGTAGTCCCTGTTCACCCATGACTGCATGGCCAGGCACGACTCCAACACCATCATTAAGTTTGCCGACGACACAACAGTGGTAGGCCTGATCACCAACAACGATAAGACAGCCTATAGGGAGGAGGTCAGAGACCTGGCAGTGTGGTGCCAGGACAACAACCTCTCCCTCAATGTGAGCAATACAAAGGAGCTGATCGTGGACTACAGGAAAAGGCAGGCCGAACAGGCCACCATTAACATTGATGGGGCTGTAGTGGAGAGGGTCGAGAGTTTCAAATTCCTGGTGTCCACATCACCAACAAACTATCATGGTCCAAACACACCAAGACAGTCGTGAAGAGGGCACGACAACACCTTTTCCCCCTCAGGAGACTGAAAAGATTTGGCATGGGTCCCCAAATCCTCAAAAAGTTATACAGCTGCACCATCGAGAGCATTCTGACCTGTTGCATCACCGCCTGGTATGGCAACTGCTTGGCCTCCGACCGCAAGGCACTACAGAGGGTAGTGCGTACGGCCCAGTACATCACTGGGGCAAAGCTTCCTGCCATCCAGGACCTCTATACCAGGCGGTGTCAGAGGAAGGCCCAAAAAATGGTCAAAGACTCCAGTCACCCTAGTCATAGACTGTTCTCTCTGCTACAGCACGGCAAGCGGTACCGGAGCGCCAAGTCTAGAACCAAAAGGCTCCTTAACAGCTTCTACCCCCAAGCCATAAGACTGCTGAACAATTAATCAAATGGCCACCCGTACTATTTGCATTGACCCCCCCCTTTTGTTTTTACACTGCTGCTACTCGCTGTTTATTATCTATACATAGTCACTTTACCCCTACCTACAACATGTACAACATTATTTTATTATGTAACTTTTTATTTTTTACTTTAGTTTATTTAGTAAATATTTTCTTAACTCTTTCTTGAACTGCATTGTTGGTTAAGGGCTTGTAAGTAAGTATTTCACGGTAAGGTCTACACCTGTTGTATTCGGCACATGTGACAAATAAAATGTGATTTGATTTGATATTTACATTGAAAAGAGAAGGGTGGGTATGTAATCAATAATGGCACACTAGCTATAGCCTTTAGCTTTGTCTGTAATAGTAGTCAATAAAACAATGATGGGTTCAATGCCCTCTTGTCCAGCTATTTTAGACATATGGAAGCTATTTGTGAGTTTTTTGTTTTACTTGACTGCAGTGCTGCTAAAGGCGTTTGAAGGCTGAGTGTGGCATTCCAGTTGTTGTTGGTTAGTTACTGTAGCTAGCTACTTCACCCCACGTTGACAGTAGTGGCATTCCAGTTGTTGTTGGTTAGTTACTGTAGCTAGCTAGTTGTTGTTGGTTAGTTACTGTAGCTAGCTAGTTGTTGTTGGTTAGTTACTGTAGCTAGCTAGTTGTTGTTGGTTAGTTACTGTAGCTAGCTAGTTGTTGTTGGTTAGTTACTGTAGCTAGCTAGTTGTTGTTGGTTAGTTACTGTAGCTAGCTAGTTGTTGTTGGTTAGTTACTGTAGCTAGCTACTTCACCCCACGTTGACAGTAGTGGCATTCCAGTTGTTGTTGGTTAGTACGTAGCTAGTAGTTGTTGTTGGTTAGTTACTGATAGTCAAAGATAGTTCGTGTAGTACTGTGCTAGCTACTGCACCCCACGTTGACAGTAGGGCATCCAGTGCTTTGGTTAGTTACTACAGCAGTTAGTTGTGGTAGTACAATGTAATCAGATAGTGTTGTGGTAGTTACTAGTAGCCTCCACCCCCACGTGACAGTAGTGGCATTCCAGTTTGTTGGTTTTATGTAGCTAGTATTTTTTGGTTAGTTTATTGTAGCTAGCTAGTTTGTTCGTTAGTTACTGTAGCTAGCTAGTTGTTGGTTAGGTACTGTAGCTAGTAGTGTTGGTAGTTACGTAGGTAGCTAGTGTTGTTGGTTCGTACATGTAGCTAACTACTTCACCCGTTGAATAGTGGATTCAGTTGTATTGGTAGTACTGAGAGTAGTAGTGTGGTGTATGTAGTCAGCTAGTGTGTGGTAGTACTGTAGCTAGCTACTTCACCATTGTTGAAGTAGTGGCATTCAAGTGTGTGGTTCATCTACTGTAGCTAGCTAGTTTTGTGGTTAGTTATGTAGAGCTATTTGTGTTTTAGTTATGTGCTAGCTACTTCACCCCGTGACAGTAGTGGCATTCCAAGTTTGTGGTAGTACGTAGCTAGAGTGTGGTAGTATGTAGCGAGTTGTTGTTGGTTAGTTACTGTAGCTAGCTACGTTCCCATGTTGACAGTAGTGGATTCAGTGTTGTGGTAGTACTTAGTAGCTAGTTGTTGTTGGTTAGTTACTGTAGCTAGCTAGTTGTTGTTGGTTAGTTACTGTAGCTAGCTAGTTGTTGTTGGTTAGTTACTGTAGCTAGCTACTTCACCCCATGTTGACAGTAGTGGCATTCCAGTTGTTGTTGGTTAGTTACTGTAGCTAGCTAGTTGTTGTTGGTTAGTTACTGTAGCTAGCTAGTTGTTGTTGGTTAGTTACTGTAGCTAGCTGCTTCACCCCACGTTGACAGTAGTGGCATTCCAGTTGTTGTTGGTTAGTTACTGTAGCTAGCTAGTTGTTGTTGGTTAGTTACTGTAGCTAGCTATTCACCCCACGTTGTTGTGGCAGTTATGTAGTGATTCCAGTGTTGTTGGTTAGTTACTGTAGCTAGCTACTTCACCCCACGTTGACAGTAGTAGGCATTCCAGTTGTTGTTGGTTAGTTACTGTAGCTAGCTAGTTGTTGTTGGTTAGTTACTGTAGCTAGCTAGTTGTTGTTGGTTAGTTACTGTAGCTAGCTAGTTGTTGTTGGTTAGTTACTGTAGCTAGCTACTTCACCCCATGTTGACAGTAGTGGCATTCCAGTTGTTGTTGGTTAGTTACTGTAGCTAGCTAATTGTTGTTGGTTAGTTACTGTAGCTAGCTAGTTGTTGTTGGTTAGTTACTGTAGCTAGCTAGTTGTTGTTGGTTAGTTACTGTAGCTAGCTACTTCACCCCATGTTGACAGTAGTGAGTTCTAGTGACAATAAAATGGTAAACCATTACTCAGAAGTCAGAACACTCAAGAGGCAAAGCACAGTCCCAAAGCATTGGGAGGGGCTAACATGCTGTTGCATGGTTTGGAAACCAGGCATTGCTTGGAAGCAACCCTACATGAAACAGAAAACAGCAAGCTGGATTTCTAAGGTTTTTAATCAGATAATGTAAAAATGTCTTACCACCACACAAGTCGGGACAGAGTGCTTTGTCCTGCAAACAATTCACATATTGAAAAAGATTAGCTGGCTAGCCCGATCCAACAATTCATGATTTTAAAACTGAGCGGTTCCTCATAATTGACACATTGCAGAATTAAGTAGTTAATTTAACTTTGGTTGTTTGTCTAAACAGCTGACGAGATGTCTAAAGAACACCCTAGGAGTTGCATGCCCCAATGATCGAATGTAACGTTTATATTTAAGTCATTTGGTTAACATTTGTTGAATAAATAAACATTATAGTCACATTTCATGAAGTGGTTATTTATCTAGCTAAAAAGTGTTCTCCCAAGAAATTGCGAATGACAATGCTGTGATGTCATAACTCTACGCGTAAAACAAAGAGATTGCCGACTCATCTGAAGTCACACTTGTGGATTGCAATACTGTCCTTTAAAACACAGAATACAGATCCACAAGCACTTTTTGAATACGCAAAACGCACGTTCCTCTGTTGTACATGTTAGGAATGTCCGAACATATGCTCACAAATCTTTCTACATTTGTTCAAATTGTAGTTTCATTTGTGAGCTATGTTGAATATATTTACAAATCATGGGATGTATTTGCGACATATGGGTGAATATTTTTTAATTTTTTAACATATTTTTACATATTCACGGAGGATTATGGTTTAATTTGTGAAATATATATATTTTTAAACATATTATGGTTTTATTTACGAAATATTTTAATATATTCACAGTTCATATTTTTATGTGAGTTTCGTTGAATATACACATGGATCATGGTAGACACACTTACAGAATAAAGAAACAAATCTAACTCCAATAACCAACATCCACAAGAATTGAATATTGCAGGAAAATAATATCTCTGAATTCTCCCATCGTGGGGTTTTCAAAATATCCCCATCACTTATTGTTGTACATGATTTAGAACAGTGAGTATGACATCATCATAGCATCAGTGACAATTAGAGAGGAAGGGAAAACAGAGAAAATATTGTGCTCAGTTCATGTAATGTAACAGCCTACAGTCGTGGTCAAACGTTTTGAGAATGACACAAATATTAATTTTCACTAAGTCTGCTGCCTCAGTTTTGATGATGGCAATTTGCATATACTCCAGAATGTTACGAAGAGTGATCAGATGAATTGCAATTAATTGCAAAGTTCCTCTTTGCCATGAAAATTAACTTAATCCCCCAAAAAACATTTCCACTGCATTTCAGCCCTGCCACAAAAGGACCAGCTGCCATCACGTCAGTGATTCTCTCGTTAACACAGGTGAGAGTGTTGACGAGGACAAGGCTGGAGATCACTCTGTCATGCTGATTGAGTTAGAATAACAGACTGGAAGCTTTAAAAGGAGGGTGGTGCTTGAAATCATTGTTCTTCCTCTGTTAACCATGGTTACCTGAAAGGAAACACGTGCCATCATCATTGCTTTGCACAAAAAAGGCTTCAAAGGCAAGGATATTGCTGGTAGTAAGATTGAAGCTAAACCAACCATTTATCAGATCATCAAGAACTTCAAGGAGAGAGGTTCAATTGTTGTGAAGAAGGCGTCAGGGCGCCCAAGAAAGTCCAGCAAGCGCCAGGACCGTCTCCTAAAGTTGATTCAGCTGCGGGATCGGGGCACCACCAGTGGAGAGCTTGCTCAGGAATGGCAGCAGGCAGGTGTGAGTGCATCTGCACGCACAGTGAGGCGAAGACTTTTGGAGGATGGCCTGGTGTCAAGAAGGGCAGCGAGGAAGCCACTTCTCTCCAGGAAAAACATCAGGGACAGACTGATATTCTGCAAAAGGTACAGGGATTGGACTGCTGAGGACTGGGGTAAAGTCATTTTCTCTGATGAATCCCCTTTCCGATTGTTTGGGGCATCCGGAAAAAAGCTTGTCCGGAGAAGACAAGGTGAGCGCTACCATCAGTCCTGTGTCATGCCAACAATAAAGCATCCTGAGACCATTCATGTGTTGGGTTGCTTCTCAGCCAAGGGAGTGGGCTCACTCACAATTTTGCCTAAGAACACAGCCATGAATAAAGAATGGTACCAACACATCCTCCGAGAGCAACTTCTCCCAACCATCCAAGAACAGTTTGGTGACGACCAATGCCTTTTCCAGCATGATGGAGCACTTTGCCATAAGGCAAAAGTGATAACTAAGTGGCTCGGGAAACAAAACATCGACATTTTGGGTCCATGGCCAGGAAACTCCCCAGACCTTAATCCCATTGAGAACTTGTGGTCGATCCTCAAGAGGCGGGTGGACAAACAAAAACCCACAAATTCAGACAAACTCCAAGCATTGATTATGCAAGAATGGGCTGCCATCAGTCAGGATGTGGCCCAGAAGTTAATTGACAGCATGCCAGGGCGGACTGCAGAGGTCTTGAAAAAGAAGGGTCAACACTGCAAATATTGACTCTTTGCATAAACTTAATGTAATTGTCAATAAAAGCCTTTGACACTTATGGAATGCTTGTAATTATACTTCAGTATACCATAGTAACATCTGACAAAAATATCTAAAAACACTGAAGCAGCAAACATTGTGAAGACCAATACTTGTGTCATTCTCAAAACTTTTGACCACGACTTCGGAAAGTATTCAGACCCCTCGACTTTTTCCACATTGTTACGTTACAGCTTTATTCTAAAATTGATTAAATTGTTTTTTTCCCCCTCATCAATCTACACACAATACCCCATAATGACAAAGCAAAAGCATGTTTCTTGAATTTTGTGCACATTTTATTTTTTGTGCACATTTATTACGGAAATATCACATTTACATAAGTATTCAGACCCTTTACTCAGTACTTTGATGAAGCACCTTTGGCAGCGATTACAGCCTCGTGTCTTCTTGGGTATGACACTACAAGCTTGGCACACCTGTATTTGGGGAGTTTCTCCCATTCTTCTCTGCAGATCCTCTCAAGCTCTGTCAGGTTGGATGGGGAGCGTCGCTGCACAGCTATTTTCAGGTCTCTCCAGAGATGTTCGATCGGGTTCAAGTCCGGGCTCTGGCTGGGCCACTCAAGGACATTCAGAGACTTGTCCCAAAGCCACTCCTGCGTTGTCTTGGCTGTGTGCTTAGGCTCGTTGTCCTGTTGGAAGGTGAACTCTGTACTTTGCGCCATTCATCTTTCCCTCAATCCTGAATAGTCTGCCAGTCCCTGCCGCTGAAAAACATCCCCACAGCATGATGCTGCCACCACCATGCTTCACCTTAGGGATGGTGCCAGGTTTCCTCCATACACGACGCTTGGCATTCAGGCCAAAGAGTTCAATCTTGGTTTCATCAGACAAGAGAATCTTGTTTCTCATGGTCTGAGTCCTTCTGTCTGGCCACTCTACCATAAAGGCCTGATTGGTGGAGTGCTGCAGAGATGGTTGTCCTTCTGGAAGGTTCTCCCATCTCTACAGAGGAACTCTGGAGTTCTGTCAGAGTGACCATCGGGTTCTTGGTCACCTCCCTGACCAAGGCCCTTCTCCCCTGATTGCTCAGTTCGGTCGGCCGGCCAGCTCTAGGAAGAGTCTTGGTGGTTCCAAACTTCTTCCATTTAAGAATGATGGAGGCCACTGTGTTCTTGGGGACCTTCAATGCTGCAGACATTTTTTGGTACCTTTCCCAGATCTGTGCCTCGACACAATCCTGTCTTGGAGCTCTACAGACAATTCCTTTGACCTCATGACTTGGTTTTTGCTCTGACATGCACTGACCTTATATAGACAGGTGTGTGCCTTTCCAAATCATGTCCAATCAATTGAATTTACCAAAGGTGGACTCCAATCAAGTTGTAGAAACATCTCAAGGATGATAAATGGAAACAGGATGCACCTGAGCTCAATTTCGAGTCTCATAGCAAAGGGTCTGAATACTTATGTAAATAAGATATTTCTGTTTTTTATTTGTAATAAATTAGCACAAATATCTAAACCTGCTTTTGCTTTGTCATTATGGGGTATAGTGTGTAGATTGATGAGGAAACATTTTATTTAATCCATTTTAGAATAAGGCTGTAACGTAAGAAAATGTGGAAAAAGGGAAGGGGTCTGAATACTTTCCGAATGCTCTGTATGTTCTCAAATTCCTCACCTTAGCGGGGTTAAACTTCAGGCCAGTACAAACTGCCAGTTGGTCAGTAGTATCTTAATCCCCTTGATAACAGTCACCACTGACGTAGCGGGGTTAAACTTCAACGTGTGAGCGTCTCCTTTTGTACACCTCTCTCTGAACACGTAGATGGAGCCGTTACAGCTGGCCACCTTCCAGAAGGACGGCACACAGCTCCACACCTCGGGGAAGCGCAGCCTGGTGAAGCTCTCCAGCAGGGGGTTATAACAGATCAGGGAGTCCCCCTCCGCAACGATGAAGAGCAGGTCCATGTGTGCGGCGGCGTGCATCACTCCCGCGAACGGCAGCACGTAATGCTTCAATTGGCACTTCTGCGTCTGCGTGTCGAAGCACTGGATGAGTCGTGACGGCTTGGTGAAGAAGTCCATGTCGTTCTCCTCCCCACCCAGTACGTAGATGGTTCCTCCCAGGTTAACCCCCGCCGCCCCAGACACCGCCGTATCCAGCGGGCTAGTCTCCGTCCACACGTTGTCCTTCACCGTGTAGTAAATGACAGCGTTGGAGAGTGTGTCCTGGAGCGTCTTTCCTCCCAGACTATAGACGGCGTCCTGGAGCGAGACGGAGACCATGGTGTGGCTGAGGCGGTCTCGGGGCAGGGGGGCACAGCGCTCCCAGTCCATAGTCTGCATGTTACACTTCCACATGCGGCGAGGGATGGACCCCCCCACCACGTAGAGGTCCGGCCCGTGTTTACAGGCGGCAGTGATCTGGTGACACAGGCTGTTCTGGCCGCTGACGCTGATGGTGTCGTCCTCGTCACAGTGCAGGGAAACGGCCAGGGAGTGGGTCCTCGTCTCCTCTTTACCTATAAGGTAGATATGCACCTTCTCCCCAATCTCCTGCAAAGACAGGCCAGACACAGTGAGGGGATTAATCATCCCTTACATGAATAACTGGATATCTTTTTTTATAGAATGATATATTTATTTATTTAGGGGGAAAAAAACATTTGTGTTGTTGAACTTGTTTTAGCTATGACCTCCACAAAACCGGGGGCATCTCAAAAAACGCCCCCCCCCCAAAACTCCCCATCAGATAGAAATATTCAAGAGAGAGACCTGTAGTAGAGTTTAGGGATCTAGAATGAGAACACTGTACCTTGAGGTTCTCCTGGAGAACAGTGGAGAACTCTTCTCTCTCCACCTTGTTGTGGTTGATCCAGGATTCGATGGCTACCGTGGGGTTCTGAGACGTCGGAACACCGTCTGGGGAACAGCATTATGGTAAAAGACCCAACAAAATGGCTGCCGTGGCATTACCCAGGTGGGTGATAAATATGGTGGTATATGGTAAGTTTCCTCCATTACTAGGTAAAGCGCGTTGCACTAGAAGTGCTATAAAAATCCAAGCAAGCAATCAATAAATGTACCTTTGATAATGTCCATGAGGAGACAGAGTGGCAGGTTGAGGAACTCATCCGTCTGGTGAATTTGGACCAGGTGGATCTTAGCACAGTGTTTGGCTGCTGTATATAGTTCCTGGTCACTGTGTCGGTCTGCTAGCCACATCACCTACAGTAGGAAGAACAGAATATAGTTCCTGGTCACTGTGTCGGTCTGCTAGCCACATCACCTACAGTAGGAAGAACAGAATATAGTTCCTGGTCACTGTGTCGGTCTGCTAGCCACATCACCTACAGTAGGAAGAACAGAATATAGTTCCTGGTCACTGTGTCGGTCTGCTAGCCACATCACCTACAGTAGGAAGAACAGAATATAGTTCCTGGTCACTGTGTCGGTCTGCTAGCCACATCACCTACAGTAGGAAGAACAGAATATAGTTCCTGGTCACTGTGTCGGTCTGCTAGCCACATCACCTACAGTAGGAAGAACAGAATATAGTTCCTGGTCACTGTGTCGGTCTGCTAGCCACATCACCTACAGTAGGAAGAACAGAATCAACTGACAGTGCTTCAAAAAGCTACTATGGTGGTCCTCAGCTGGTAGAGCACGGCGCTTGGTCCTCTGTAGCTCAGCTGGTAGAGCACGGCGCTTGGTCCTCTGGAGCTCAGCTGGTAGAGCACGGCGCTTGTAACGCCAAGGTAGTGGGTTCGATCCCCGGGACCACCCATACGTAAAAATGTATGCGTACATGACTGTAAGTCGCTTTGGATAAAAGCGTCTGCTAAATGGCATATTATATTATTATTATATTATTATTATTATTATTATTATTATTATAACAAGATGACAAGATGGTCCGATTGACAGCAGCTACACAGATCCGATACAGTACCTTGACGAACAGAATTCACATTTCTACCCGAGTCAATCCTATCCACAAAGGGGACACACATTCGCTCATTACTTCGGACACCAACAATTGGCTGTATCAGGTCCAGGAAATGGAAACCCAGCTCACCTGTAGGCAGTTCTTGACATCTACGGTGCGTGACAGGAAGCGGGAGCATTCTTCAAACAGAGCAGTCAGCTGGTACATGTCAGCCATCTCATAGGTCTCCTGCAGTTCCTCCACGGTCAGCTTCACTGTCCCGTGGTAGATGTAGTCTACTAGCAGCTGGAATACTGACGCGCTGAATACAATAGAAAATAGACTTTTATTGTTCAATTTGCGAGAAACAGAGCGTTGAGCAGTTTATGGGTTAAGTACCATGCTCAAGGGCACAACGGCAGGCGATGGTCCCAGGGATGAGAGACCACCAGCCCTACCTGACGTCATTCAGTTGGACGCTGACCTGACGTCCTTCAGTTGGACGCTGTCTGAACCTCTCTAACCTAGACTTCCTACCTGACGTCCTTCAGTTGGACGCTGACCTGACGTCCTTCAGTTGGACGCTGTCTGAACCTCTCTAACCTAGACTTCCTACCTGACGTCCTTCAGTTGGATGCTGTCTGAACCTCTCTAACCTAGACTTCCTACCTGACGTCCTTCAGTTGGACGCTGTCTGAACCTCTCTAACCTAGACTTCCTACCTGACGTCCTTCAGTTGGACGATGTCTGAACCTCTCTAACCTAGACTTCCTACCTGACGTCCTTCAGTTGGACGCTGACCTGACGTCCTTCAGTTGGATGCTGCGTGTTCGAACCTCTCTAACCTAGACTTCCTACCTGACGTCCTTCAGTTGGACGATGTCTGAGCCTCTCTAACCTAGACTTCCTACCTGACGTCCTTCAGTTGGACACTGACCTGACGTCCTTCAGTTGGACGCTGTCTGAACCTCTCTAACCTAGACTTCCTACCTGACGTCCTTCAGTTGGATGCTGTCTGAACCTCTCTAACCTAGACTTCCTACCTGACGTCCTTCAGTTGGACGCTGTCTGAACCTCTCTAACCTAGACTTCCTACCTGACGTCCTTCAGTTGGACGATGTCTGAACCTCTCTAACCTAGACTTCCTACCTGACGTCCTTCAGTTGGATGCTGTCTGAACCTCTCTAACCTAGACTTCCTACCTGACGTCCTTCAGTTGGACGCTGACCTGACATCCTTCAGTTGGATGCTGTCTGAACCTCTCTAACCTAGACTTCCTACCTGACGTCCTTCAGTTGGATGCTGTCTGAACCTCTCTAACCTAGACTTCCTACCTGACGTCCTTCAGTTGGACGCTGTCTGAACCTCTCTAACCTAGACTTCCTACCTGACGTCCTTCAGTTGGACGCTGTCTGAACCTCTCTAACCTAGACTTCCTACCTGACGTCCTTCAGTTGGACGCTGTCTGAACCTCTCTAACCTAGACTTCCTACCTGACGTCCTTCAGTTGGACGCTGTCTGAACCTCTCTAACCTAGACTTCCTACCTGACGTCCTTCAGTTGGACGCTGTCTGAACCTCTCTAACCTAGACTTCCTACCTGACGTCCTTCAGTTGGACGCTGACCTGACATCCTTCAGTTGGATGCTGTCTGAACCTCTCTAACCTAGACTTCCTACCTGACGTCCTTCAGTTGGACGCTGTCTGAACCTCTCTAACCTAGACTTCCTACCTGACGTCCTTCAAGTTGGGATGCTGTCTGAACCCTCTCTAACCTAGACCCTACCGGAACGTCCTTCAGTTGGATGCTGCTGGAACCTCCTAAACCTAGACTTCCTAACCCTGACGCCTTCAGTTGGATGCTGTGAACCTCTCTAACCTAGACTTCCTACCTACGTCCTTCATTGGATGCTGTCGAACCTCTCTACCTAGACTTTCCTACCTGACGTCCTCAGTTGGATCTGTCTGACCTCTCTAACTCGACTTCCTACCTGACGTCCTTCAGTTGGACGCTGACCCTACTCCTTCATTTGGATGCTGTCTGAACCTCTCTAAGCTAGACTTCCTACCGACGTCCTCAGTTTGGACACTGTCTGAACCTCTCTAACCTAGACTTCCTACCTGACGTCCTTCAGTTGGATGCTGTCTGAACCTCTCTAACCTAGACTTCCTACCTGACGTCCTTCAGTTGGACGCTGTCTGAACCTCTCTAACCTAGACTTCCTACCTGACGTCCTTCAGTTGGATGCTGCGTGTGTGAGCCTCTCTAACCTAGACTTCCTACCTGACGTCCTTCAGTTGGACGCTGTCTGAACCTCTCTAACCTAGACTTCCTACCTGACGTCCTTCAGTTGGACGCTGACCTGACATCCTTCAGTTGGATGCTGTCTGAACCTCTCTAACCTAGACTTCCTACCTGACGTCCTTCAGTTGGATGCTGTCTGAACCTCTCTAACCTAGACTTCCTACCTGACGTCCTTCAGTTGGACGATGTCTGAACCTCTCTAACCTAGACTTCCTACCTGACGTCCTTCAGTTGGATGCTGTCTGAACCTCTCTAACCTAGACTTCCTACCTGACGTCCTTCAGTTGGACGATGTCTGAACCTCTCTAACCTAGACTTCCTACCTGACGTCCTTCAGTTGGACATGTCTGAAACCTCTCTAACCTAGGACTTCCTACACTGACGTCCTTCAGTTGGATGCTGTCTGAACCTCTCTAACCTAGACTTCCTACCTGACGTCCTTCGTTGGACCTGTCGGAACCTCTCTAACCTAGACTTCCTACCTGACATCCTTCAGTTGGACGCTGAACCTGACGTCCTTCAGTTGGACGCTGTCTGAACCTCTCTAACCTAGACTTCCTACCTGACGTCCTTCAGTTTGGACGCTGTCTGAACCTCTCTAACCTAGACTTCCTACCTGACGTCCTTCAGTTGGACGCTGACCTGACATCCTTCAGTTGGATGCTGTCTGAACCTCTCTAACCTAGACTTCCTACCTGACGTCCTTCAGTTGGATGCTGACCTGACGTCCTTCAGTTGGACGCTGTCTGAACCTCTCTAACCTAGACTTCCTACCTGACGTCCTTCAGTTGGATGCTGACCTACGTCCTTCAGTTGGATGCTGTCTGAACCTCTCTAACCTAGACTTCCTACCTGACGTCCTTCAGTTGGATGCTGTCTGAACCTCTCTAACCTAGACTTCCTACCTGACGTCCTTCAGTTGGATGCTGTCTGAACCTCTCTAACCTAGACTTCCTACCTGACGTCCTTCAGTTGGATGCTGTCTGAACCTCTCTAACCTAGACTTCCTACCTGACGTCCTTCAGTTGGACGCTGTCTGAACCCCTAACCTAGGCCTTCCTACTGACGTCTGGATGCTGTCTGAACCTCTAAGCTAGACTTCCTACCTGACGTCCTTCAGTTGGCATGCTGTCTGAACCTCTCTAACCTAGACTTCCTACTGACGTCCTTCAGTGGATGCTGTCTGAACCTCTCTAACCTAGACTTCCTACCTGACGTCCTTCAGTTGACGCTGTCTGAACCCGTCTAACCTAGACTTCCATACCTGACGTCCTCAGTGGATGCTGTCGGGGAGCCTCTCTAACCTAGGACTTCCTACCTGACGTCCTTCAGTTGGACGCTGTCTGAACCTCCTCTCTAACCCTAGACTTCCTACCTGACGTCCTTCAGTTGGCCGCTGACCTGACATCCTTCAGTTGGATGCTGTCTGAACCTCTCTAACCTAGACTTCCTACCTGACGTCCTTCAGTTGGATGCTGTCTGAACCTCTCTAACCTAGACTTCCTACCTGACGTCCTTCAGTTGGACGTGTCTGAACCTCTCTAACCTGACTCCTACCTGAACGTCCTTCAGTTGGATGCTGTCTGAACCTCTCTAACCTAGACTTCCTACCTGACGTCCTTCAGTTGGACGTGTCTGAACCTCTCTAACCTAGACTTCCTACCTGACGTCCTTCAGTTGGACGTGTCTGAACCTCTCTAACCTAGACTTCCTACCTGACGTCCTTCAGTTGGATGCTGTCTGAACCTCTCTAACCTAGACTTCCTACCTGACGTCCTTCAGTTGGATCTGTTAAACCTCTCAAACCTAGACTTTCCTACGCACCCTTTCATTTGGACGCTACCTGAGTCCTTCAGTGGACCCCTGTTAAACCCCTCTCAAAACCTAACTTCCTCCCCAAAAACCCCTTTCAGTTGGACGTGACCTGAAAACCTTCATTTTGGATGCTGTCTAAACCCTCAATAATCCCCCGACTCCTATTTGGATGCTTCTGAACCCTCAAAACCAGATTCCTCCTGATCCTTCAGTTGGACGCTGACCGACCCCTTTCAGTTGGATCTGTCTGAACCTTTTAACCTAGACTTCCTACCTACGTCCTTCATGGATGCGTCTAAACCTCTCAAAACCTAGACTTCCTCCCTACACCCCCTTTCAGTTGGTTTGCGTGGTGAGCCTCTCTAACCAACTTCCTCCCTGACCCCTTCATTTTGGATGTGCGTGGTGGCCTCTCTACCTAGACTTCCTACCTGCGTCCTTCGTTGGTGCGGGTGTTAAACCTCTTAACCAGATTCCTACCTGACCCCTTCATTGGGATGTCGTGTGTGAGCCTCTTAACCTAGACTTCCACCTGACCCCTTTTCAGTTGGACCTGTTAACCTCTTAAACCTGACTTCCTCCCTGATCCTTCATTGGACGTCCCTAAAAACCTTCATTGGATCTGTCTGAACCTCTCCCTAGTTTCCTAGACGCCCTTTCATTTGGACCTGTCAAACCTCTCAAAACCAAAAATTCCTACCTGCGTCCTCTTTGGGATGCTGTCTGAACCTCTCTAACCTACCCCTTCCCTACCTACGTCCTTCATTGGATGCTGCTGAACCTCTTAACCAAATTTCCACCTAGTCCTTCGTTGGATGCTGTCTAAACCCTCCAAACCTAGATTTCCACCTGCTCCTTCATTGGGTTTTGGGTCGAACCTCTCAACCTAGACTTCCCCTCCTGCGCCCTTTCTTGGAGCGTTAAACCCTCAAACCCAGATTTCCTACCTGACGCCCTTTCATTTGGTCTGTTGAACCTCCTAACCAGACTTCCCCTAAACCCCTTCTTGGATGCTGTCTGAGCCCTCTAATTAACTTCCTACTGACGCCCTTCTTGGACGCGTCTAAACCTCTCTAACCTAACTTCCTACCTGGGGTCCTTGTTGGACCTGCTAAAACCCCCCTACCTACTTCCTCCCTGATGCCCTTCAGTTGGATGCTGTCTGAACCCCCTTTAACCCTAGATTCCACCTGTGTCCTTCATTGGATCGTCTAAACCTCTCTAACCTAGATTTCCCCTACCTACGTCCTTCAGTTGGATGCGTCTGAACCTCTCAAAACCTAATTTCCTACCTCTCCTTCATTTGGCATGTCTGACCTCTAACCTAGATTCCCTACCTAACGCCCTTCAGTTGGATCTGTCTGAACCTCTCTAACCACTTCCTACCTGACGCCCTTTCGTTGGATGCTGCAAACCCTCTCTAACCTAGACTTCCTACCTGACGCCCCTTCAGTTGGTGCTGTTGAACCTCTCTAACCAATTTCCACCTGACTCCTTCATTGGTGCTGTCTAAACCCTCAAACCTAGACTTCCTACCTGACGTCCTTCAGTTGGAGCGCTGAACCTCTCAAACCTAGATTCCTCCCCTGACCCCTTTCATTTTGGATGTTTCTAAACCTCTCAAACCCTAGATTTCCTACCTGCGTCCTTCAGTTGGCCTGCCCCGACGTCCTTCATTGGGATGCTGTTGAACCTTCTAACCCTGACTTCACCTACGTCCTTCAGTTGGATGCGTCTGAACCTCTCAAACCTAATTTCCCAACCGACGCCCTTCAGTTGGATGCTGTCTAACCTCCACCTAGACTTCCTACCTGACGCCTTCGGGGGATATGCGGTTCGAACCTCTCTACCTAGACTTCCTACCTGACCCCCTTAAGTTTGGTGCGTTAAAACCTCTCAACCTAGCTCCCCCTGACGCCTTCGTTGGACGATGTCTAAACCCTCTCAACCTAGACTTCCAAACCTGAAAATCCTTCAGTTGGACACTGTTAAAAACCTCTCTAACCTAGACTTCCTACCTGAGCCCTTTCTTTGGTGCTGTCTAAACCTCCAACCAGCTTCCTACCTGACGTCCTTCATTGGGCATGTCGAACCCTCTAACCAAAACTTCCTACTGACTCCTTCATTTGGGACACTGTCTGAACCTTTTAAACCCTAGACCCCCACCTGACGCCCTTCGTTGGCGCGTCGAACCTCTCAAACCTAATTCCTAGACCCCTTATTGGGATCTGTCTGAACCCTCAACCTAACTTCCTACCTGACGCCTTCAGTTGGATGCTGTCTGAACCTCTCTAACCTAGACTTCCACCTGACGTCCTTCAGTTGGACGCTGACCTGACGTCCTTCAGTTGGACGCTGTCTGAACCTCTCTAACCTAGACTTCCTACCTGACGTCCTTCAGTTGGACGCTGTCTAACCTCTAACCTAGACTTCCTACCTGACGTCCTTCAGTTGGATGCTGTCTGAACCTCTCTAACCTAGACTTCCTACCTGGACGTCCTTCAGTTGGATGCTGTTGAACCTCTCTACCTAGACTTCTACCCTGACGTCCTTCGTTGGACGAGTCTGACCTCTCTACCTAACTCCTACCGACGTCCTTCGTTGGATGCTGTCTGAACCTCTCTAACCTAGACTTCCTACCTGACGTCCTTCAGTTGGACGCTGTCTGAACCTCTCTACCTAGACTTCCTACCTGACGTCCTTCAGTTGGACATGTCCTGAACCTCTCTAACCAGACTTCCTACCTGACATCCTTCAGTTGGACACTGTCTGAACCTCTCTAACCTAGACTTCCTACCTGACGTCCTTCAGTTGGACGCTGACCTGACTCCTTACAGTTGGACGCTGTCTGAACCTCATAACTAGACTTCCTATGACGTCCTTCAGTTGGATGCTGTCTGAACCTCTCTAACCTAGACTTCCTACCTGACGTCCTTCAAGTTGGACGCTGACTGACCTCCTAACACTCCTACTGATGTCCATTGGTGTGTCCTTAAACCTCTCTAACCTAGACTTCCTACCTGACGTCCTTCAGTTGGATGCTGTCTGAACCTCTCTAACCTAGACTTCCTACCTGACGTCCTTCAGTTGGACGCTGTCTGAACCTCTCTAACCTAGACTTCCTACCTGACGTCCTTCAGTTGGACGCTGACCTGACGTCCTTCAGTTGGACGCTGTCTGAACCTCTCTAACCTAGACTTCCTACCTGACGTCTTCAGTTGGAGCTGTCTGAACCTCTCTAACCTAGACTTCCTACCTGACGTCCTTCAGTTGGATGCTGTCTACCTCTCTAACTGACTTCCTACTGACGTCCTTCAGTTGGACGCTGTCTGAACCTCTCTAACCTAGACTTCCTACCTGACGTCCTTCAGTTGGACGCTGTCTGACCTCTCTAACCTAGCTTCCTACCTGACTCCTTCAGTTGGACGCTGACCTGACGTCCTTCAGTTGGACCTGTCTGATCCTCTCTAACCACTTCCTACCTGACGTCCTTCATTACGCTGACCTACGTCCTTCATGGATGCTTTGAACCTCTAACCAGACTCCTACCTGACGTCCTTCAGTTGGATGCTGTCTGAACCTCTCTAACCTAGACTTCCTACCTGACGTCCTTCAGTTGGACGCTGTCTGAACCTCTCTAACCTAGACTTCCTACCTGAAGTCCTTCAGTTGGACGCTGCCTGAGTCCTCAGTTGGACCTGTCTGAACCTCTCTAACCTAGACTTCCTACCTGACGTCCTTCAGTTGGACGCTGAACCTTCTAACCTGACTTCCTATCTCCTCAGTTGGACGCTGACCTGACGTCCTTCAGTTGGAGCTGTCTGAACCTCTCTAACCTAGACTTCCTACCTGACGTCCTTCAGTTGGAGCTGTCTGAACCTCTCTAACCTATCCTACTGACTCCTCGTGACGCTGACGACTCCTTCAGTTGGACTCTGCGTCTCTAACCTAACTTCCTACCTGACGTCCTTCTTGGGCGCTGACCTGACGTCCTTCAGTTGGAGCTGCTGAACCCTCTAACCTAGACTTCTACTGACTCTTCAGTTGGACGCTGTCTGAACCTCTCTAACCTAGACATCCTACCTGACGTCCTTCAGTTGGACGCTGTCTGAGCCTCTCTAACCTAGACTTCCTACCTGACGTCCTTCAGTTGGACGCTGACCTGAACTCCTTCAGTTGGACGCTGACCTGACGTCCTTCAGTTGGACCTGTCTGACCTCTCTAACTAGACTTCCTCTGCGTCCTTCAGTTGGATGCTGTCTGAACCTCTCTAACCTAGACGTTCCTACCTGACGTCCTTCAGTTGGATGCTGCTGTTCGACCTCTCTAACCTAGACTTCCTACCTGACGTCCTTCAGTTGGACGCTGACCTGAATCCTTCAGTTGAGCGTCGAACCTCTCTAACCTAGACTTCCTACCTGACGTCCTTCAGTTGGCCTGTTGCCTCTCTAACCTAGACTTCCTACTGACGTCCTTCAGTTGGATGCTGTCTGAACCTCTTAACCTAGACTTCTACCTGAGATCCTTCGTTGGACGTGACCTGACGTCCTTCAGTTGGATGCTGTCTGAACCTCTCTAACCTAGACTTCCTACCTGACGTCCTTCAGTTGGATGCTGTCTGAACCTCTCTAACCTAGACTTCCTACCTGACGTCCTTCAGTTGGATGCTGTCTGAACCTCTCTAACCTAGACTTCCTACCTGACGTCCTTCAGTTGGACGCTGACCTGACGTCCTTCAGTTGGACGCTGTCTGAACCTCTATAACCTAGACTTCCTACCTGACGTCCTTCAGTTGGACGCTGACCTGACGTCCTTCAGTTGGACGCTGACCTGACGTCCTTCAGTTGGACGCTGTCTGAACCTCTATAACCTAGACTTCCTACCTGACGTCCTTCAGTTGGACGCTGTCTGAACCTCTCTAACCTAGACTTCCTACCTGACGTCCTTCAGTTGGACGCTGTCTGAGCCTCTCTAACCTAGACTTCCTACCTGACGTCCTTCAGTTGGACGCTGTCTGATCCTCTCCAACCTAACTTCCTACCTGACGTCCTTCATTGGGACGCTACCTGACGTCCTTCATTGGACGCTGGAACCCTTAACGTCCTTTCCCATTTGTTGGACGCTGTCTGAACCTCTCTAACCTAGACTTCCTACCTGACGTCCTTCAGTGGACGCTGTCTGACCTCTCTAACCTAGACTTCCTACCTGACGTCCTTCAGTTGGATGCTGTCTAAATCCTCCCCAACTAACCCACCTAGACTATCCTACCTGACGTCCTTCAGTTGGACGCTGTCTGAACCTCTCTAACCTAGACTTCCTACTGACGTCCTTCAGTTGGACGCTGTCTGAACCTCTCTAACCTAGACTTCCTACCTGACGTCCTTCAGTTGGACGCTGACTTTTTGACCTCCTTTCATTTGGACGCTGTCTGAACCTCTCTAACCTAGACTTCCTACCTGACGTCCTTCAGTTGGATGCTGTCTGAACCTCTCTAACCTAGACTTCCTACCTGACGTCCTTCAGTTGGACGCTGACCTGACGTCCTTCAGTTGGATGCTGTCTGATCCTCTCTAACCTAGACTTCCTACCTGACGTCCTTCAGTTGGATGCTGTCTGAACCTCTCTAACCTAACTTCCTACCTGACGTCCTTCAGTTGGACGCTGACCTGACGTCCTTCAGTTGGACGCTGTCTGAACCTCTCTAACCTAGACTTCCTACCTGATGTCCTTCAGTTGGATGCTGACCTGACGTCCTTCAGTTGGATGCTGTCTGAACCTCTCTAACCTAGACTTCCTACCTGACGTCCTTCAGTTGGACGCTGTCTGAACCTCTCTAACCTAGACTTCCTACCTGACGTCCTTCAGTTGGACGCTGGACCTGACGTCCTTCAGTTGGACGCTGTCTGAACCTCTCTAACCTAGACTTCCTACCTGACGTCCTTCAGTTGGACGCTGACCGACGTCCTTCAGTTGGATGCTGTCTGAATCCTCTCTAACCTAGACTTCCTACCTGACGTCCTTCAGTTGGACGCTGTCTGAACCTCTCTAACCTAGACTTCCTACCTGACGTCCTTCAGTTGGACGCTGACCTGACGTCCTTCAGTTGGACGCTGTCTGAACCTCTCTAACCTAGACTTCCTACCTGACGTCCTTCAGTTGGACGCTGGACCTAAACGTCCTTCAGTTGGATGCTGTCTGATCCTCTCTAACCTAGACTTCCTACCTGACGTCCTTCAGTTGGACGCTGTCTGAACCTCTCTAACCTAACTTCCTACCTGACGTCCTTCAGTTGGACGCTGACCTGACGTCCTTCAGTTGGACGCTGTTCTGAACCTCTCTACCCTAGACTTCCTACCTGACGTCCTTCAGTTGGACGCTGACTGACGTCCTTCAGTTGGATGCTGTCTGATCTCTCTAACCTAGACTTCCTACCTGACGTCCTTCAGTTGGATGCTGTGAACCTTTCTCTAACCTAGACTTCCTACCTAAACGTCCTTCAGTTGGACGCTGTCTGAACCTCTCTAACCTAGACTTCCTACCTGACGTCCTTCAGTTGGACGCTGACCTGACGTCCTTCAGTTGGACGCTGTCTGAACCTCTCTAACCTAGACTTCCTACCTGACGTCCTTCAGTTGGACGCTGACCTGACGTCCTTCAGTTGGATGCTGTCTGATCCTCTCTAACCTAGACTTCCTACCTGACGTCCTTCAGTTGGACGCTGTCTGAACCTCTCTAACCTAGACTTCCTACCTGACGTCCTTCAGTTGGACGCTGACCTGACGTCCTTCAGTTGGATGCTGTCTGAACCTCTCTAACCTAGACTTCCTACCTGACGTCCTTCAGTTGGACGCTGTCTGAACCTCTCTAACCTAGACTTCCTACCTGACGTCCTTCAGTTGGACGCTGTCTGAACCTCTCTAACCTAGACTTCCTACCTGACGTCCTTCAGTTGGATGCTGCGTGTGTGAGCCTCTCTCAGGTTGGATGTGAACATGGATCTAAAGAAGCTGCTCTGGGCTGACAGTACCAGGCGGTGCAGGTTAAAATCCCTCCCCTCCACCATCACCGTCACGTCAGCAAACAGCCCATCCTGAAGACACAGGGATATAAGATGGAGGAACCGTCAATGTCATTATAACCCCGAAACTAATGCTGCACTGGGAAATTTCATTTAAACTGAATGGAGCGTGTATGATTCCTCTGCCCTTTCTCAATTCATCTTTCCTCGATTACTCCCATCCTCTCCCCTTGCCGCCTCCTCAAAACCCATTGGAGAAGAAGGTCTGAGGGGAGGGAATCTTCACGTCTAATAAGGTTGAGGAGACGAGGAGATAGGATGCGAGGAATCAGAGAAAGTTTAATTATGATTCCTTACCTGCAGACACAGGTCCATGATGCTCTGCACCACGCGGCTGGAGTGGGAGCGGTCTGTAAATGTGTAACCTAGGAAGTAGTTCTCCTCTGCCACCAAGGAGCCTGCTCCTAAACTCTGTCCCCCGGACCTGGCCCTGTCCCCGGCCTCACTGGTCTCCATCTTACCAGCTAGCAGGGTTAGGCTACCTGAGAATCATCGAGAAACACAACTGTTAGTGTGTATAGTTAGAAACCCTGCCGGTTAAGACAAAAAACTAAAAAGCAGACTTCAGACTTTGCGAATCTGTAGAGATTTAAAACACGCTGGTTCGTGTTTCTGTGTAAACTGAAATCACAATGGTTTTAACTGGACTAACGTTATGTATTGTTTTGGTTTTACGAAACCTGACAAATAGATGATGCATATTCATGGACTGTCAGTGAAAGTTAGTTACTGTAGCTAGCTAAGCAACCACACGTTAGCAATCCCTGCAGCGCCACCATTCTGACACCAATCATGCCGAGTTGGCAAACAGTTTAATCAGTATCAGATTATAGTTTAAGAGATAATTTATTAGCTGGTAAACCTTTTCAGCCTACCTTTACTCCACTATCTTTTCTATTTCATCATACGGAAGACGGTGAACTATTCACCGGAAGTAAACAAACGTTTTTTTTTCTGGCCAGCTCAGCTGATGCTGATGCCAATGATAGGTGCTGCCACCGTGTGGCGGAGATATGTTTTTTTATTATTTTTTTTTATTTCACCTTTATTGAACCAGGTAAGAAGCCAGTTGAGAACAAGTTCTCATTTACAACTGCGACCTGGCCAAGATAAAGCAAAGCAGTGCGATAAAAACAACAACACAGAGTTACATATGTTACAACAGTCTACTTCATTATTTTTTTTTGTGTAAAACGCAGGTCTCCAATTCTGGTCCTGGGGACCACAGGGTGTGCCGAACTTTGTTTAACTACTACACATTCAATCATAGGTTTAGTGATGACCGTAGTTGAATAGTTGAATCGGGTGTGTAGGCCTACTAGCTTGATGGAACGTAATCCTGCACACCCAGCAGGACCAGGGTGGAACAACACTAGCAGTGCTGTAAACTTATCAGCCAACTGGCCCTAATGCCTTTTTTCCTAGGTGGAAGAATGTATGGCATTCTAGCCTAGACTCGTGGCTATCGGACTGGGTTTTTATTTAAGAGGAGCAAAGGAAAGAGGGAGGCTGTGAAATCGTCATGCAATCAGAGTTGTACAGTCATAAAAGAGAGATGGTGGCAAAACCTCAACTAAGAGTTCTCATATGGGTCACTGTTGCGACTTTGCGGTTTCAAGATCTTTTAGGTGAGTTATAATTGCTTTAAAACTAACTTGGACTTAAGGATATGTTGTGTCTTGAATGCAATGCAATGAAAATAGTAGATAAAGGATTAGTAGTTAAAGTTGTATTGAATTGAATATCAATATGTACATTTGCATGTAATTGAATACCACAACAGGTGCTAAGTGGAAGTTGAGTTAAACTTAAATCCTATGTTTCTGAGAGTAACATTATTCATTTTTTCATGAATAATTTGAATAGTGAAAATACCAACTTTTTCTCTCTCTCTCAGATGTGTCTGGTGCCATTCATGGCGGTCTTCCTTCCCAGGGCTTGGGCAAATCCATCAGCGATGCAAACTTGATGTTTGAGGTTAGAGTTACACTTCTATTAGCCTGGTCCCAGATCAGTTTGGGTGGTCTTGCTGACAATTACCATCAAAGTCAGAAAGAAAGAACAGATCTGGGACCAGGCTACATTTATATGAGCATATTGTATTTTCTCTTGAGTAATCCTCTGTAGCTCAGCTGGTAGAGCATGGCGCTTGTAACGCCAAAGTAGTGGGTTCGATCCCCGGGACCACCCGTACACAAAAATGTATGCACGTTGGATAAAAGCGTCTGCTAAATGGCATATTATTATTATTTGTTTCTGTTTTTCCCCACCATCTGTTTACTAAACTTATTTCTTGTACATATGTTATTACACTACATGACTAAAAGTATGTGGACACCTGCTTGTCGAACATCTCAATCCAAAATCATGGGCATTAATATGGAGTTGGTCCCCCCTTTGCTGCTATAACAGCCTCCACTCTTCTGGGAAGGCTTTCCACTAGATGTTGGAACATTGCTGCGGGGACTTGCTTCCATTCAGCAACAAGAGCATTAGTGAGGTCAAGCACTGATATTGGGCGATTAGGCCTGGCTCGCAGTCGGCGTTCCAATTCATCCCAAAGGTGTTCGATGGGGTTGAGGTCAGGGCTCTGTGCAGGCTAGTCAAGTTCTTCCACACTAATCTCGACAAACCATTTCTGTATGGACCTCGCTTTGTGCACGGGGGCATTGTCATGCTGAAACAGGAAAGGGCCTTCCCCAAACTGTTGCCACCAAGTTGGAAGCACAGAATCTTCTAGAATGTCATTGTATGCTATGGCATTAAGATTTCCCTTCACTGGAACTAAGGGGCCTAGCCCGAACCATGAAAAACAGCCCCAGACCATTACTCCTCCTCCACCAAACTTTACAGTTGGCACTATGCATTGGGGCAGGTAGCGTTCTCCTGGCATCCGCCAAACCCAGATTCATCCGTCGAACTGCCAGATGGTGAACCGTTCTGTGAGCTTGTGTGGCCTACCACTTCGCGGCTGAGCCGTTGTTGTTCCTAGATGTTTCTGCTTCACAATAACAGCACTTACAGTTGACCGGGGCAGCTCTAGCAGGGCAGACATCAGACGAACTGACTTGATGGAAAGGTGGCATCCGATGACGGTGCCACGTTGAAAGTCACTGAGCTCTTCAGTAAGGCCATTTCTACTGCCAACGTGTGTCTGTGGAGATTGCATGGGCGTGTGCTCGATTTTATACACCTGTCAGCAACGGGGGTGGCTGAAATAGCCGAATCGACTAATTTGAAGGGGTGTCCACATACTTTTGTATATATAGTGTATCTACCCACAATTGACTGATCATTAGATTCTTACCTCTCCATACAGTTCTTGTTGGGTGGAGTGGAGATTGACAAAGACAACAACATCGTCCTGCTGGACCTGGAGATGGCATCTATGAGGCAGGGACGGGCTTTCCTGGCTCACATCAACGACAACATCCCCAAGACGCTCTCTTCCATGGAGCAGATGGTGAAGGACCTGGAGGACAAGAGAGGGCCTCTCCCTCTCTCCCAACCCCGCTTTGAGAGCCTCATCCTGGGCATGGTCTACTCTGCTCACCAGGCCAAGCTCCAGGAGAGAGAGGAGGGCCAGGAGAAATGGGGAGAGGTGCTGATACGTCTGGTTAATGTTACAGTCAACGAGCTACGTAGACCAGAGCCCATCACAACACTCACTTAGATTAGGATACAGACTGTTCATTAGCCTGGTCCCAAGCTTGTAATTCTCTTTTTTAATACAGTATACAAAAGGATACAGTGGGGGAAAAAAGTATTTAGTCAGCCACCAATTGTGCAAGTTCTCCCACTTAAAAAGATGAGAGAGGCCTGTAATTTTCATCATAGGTACACGTCAACTATGACAGACAAATTGAGGGAAAAAAAATGGAGGAATGGGCCAAAATACCAGCAACAGTGTGTGAAAACCTTGTGAAGACTTACAGAAAACGTTTGACCTGTGTCATTGCCAACAAAGGGTATATAACAAAGTATTGAGAAACTTTTGTTATTGACCAAATACTTATTTTCCACCATAATTTGCAAATAAATTCATAAAAAATCCTACAATGTGATTTTCTGGATTTTTTTTTCTCATTTTGTCTGTCATAGTTGACGTGTACCTATGATGAAAATTACAGGCCTCTCTCATCTTTTTAAGTGGGAGAACTTGCACAATTAGTGGCTGACTAAATACTTTTTTCCCCCCACTGTATATATATATATATTAAAAATATATATATATCATCAGCAACACAACCAATATATTTGAAACACGGTGGAACAGTGATCACCATTGTAAGACATATTTCAAACATTTGTGGGTTTCTATGGTGTGGATCATGATTGGCCATGTTTATGTCCATTCCAGCATTTGCTTTGTTTGTCAATGGAAGTTTTCAATAAAAATACATGGTTCACTTTACAACAGTATATGCAACATTTACAAAAGGCATATTAATACAACATGTCATAGACAAAACTCTTCCAACATCACAAAGAACAACCTCTCTCCTCTTCCCTGATTATTTATTTTGACTCTTGTGTCTCTTGTTGTTGTCATTACCCCTGGATGATCTGGTTCTGGTTTATTACCTCTGGATGATGTGGTTCTGGTTTATTACCCCTGGATGATGTGGTTCTGGTTCTGGTTCTGGTTTATTACCTCTGGATGATGTGGTTCTGGTTCTGGTTTATTACCCCTGGATGATGTGGTTCTGGTTTATTACCTCTGGATGATGTGATTCTGGTTCTGGTTTATTACTAGTGGATGATGTGGTTCTGGTTTATTACCTCTGGATGATGTGATTCTGGTTCTGGTTTATTACTAGTAGATGATGTGGTTCTGGTTTATTACCTCTGGATGATGTGATTCTGGTTATGGTTTATTACCTCTGGATGATGTGGTTCTGGTTTATTACCTCTGGATGATGTGATTCTGGTTCTGGTTTATTACCTCTGGATGATGTGGTTCTGGTTCTGGTTTATTACCTCTGGATGATGTGATTCTGGTTCTGGTTTATTACCTCTGGATGATGTGTTTCTGGTTCTGGTTTATTACCTCTGGATGATGTGTTTCTGGTTCTGGTTTATTACCTCTGGATGATGTGGTTCTGGTTTATTACCTCTGGATGATGTGTTTCTGGTTCTGGTTTATTACCTCTGGATGATGTGGTTCTGGTTTATTACCTCTGGATGATGTGATTCTGGTTCTGGTTTATTACCTCTGGATGATGTGTTTCTGGTTCTGGTTTATTACCTCTGGATGATGTGGTTCTGGTATATTACCACTTCATGATGACAGAGGTGAGTGCTACGGGGCGATAGTCATTTAGTTCAGTTACCTTTGCTTTCTTGGGTACAGGAACAATGGTGGACATCTCGAAGCAAGTGGGGACAGCAGACTGAATTTTGCAGTATATTAACAATATCAGTGAATGATGCAAAGTTCCATCTTGAATTGATGGGTCGACCTACAGTAGCCATAGGACAGCAGTTTAAGCTTAAAGCTACAGTCTGGGATCTGGGAATAATGGTCATTTCAATTATTGAACCATTGAATCGATTCTTGGATAATATAATGTATAAATGTACACCAGGGTAAATCTTCCATCAAAAAGAAAATATTTTAATCCCAAAGTCGTCTGTCTGACCGCCCACTCCTGACCGCACTGCAATGACCTCTGTCGGGACCCGCAGGTCCTGCAGCCTCCCGCGGGAACGCAGCCCTCTATGACCTCTGTCGGGACCCGCAGGTCCTGCAGCATCCCGCGGGAACGCAGCCCTCTATGACCTCTGTCGGGACCCGCAGGTCCTGCAGCATCCCGCGGGAACGCAGCCCTCTATGACCTCTGTCGGGACCCGCAGGTCCTGCAGCATCCCGCGGGAACGCAGCCCTCTATGACCTCTGTCGGGACCCGCAGGTCCTGCAGCATCCCGCGGGAACGCAGCCCTCTATGACCTCTGTCGGGACCCGCAGGTCCTGCAGCATCCCGCGGGAACGCAGCCCTCTATGACCTCTGTCGGGACCCGCAGGTCCTGCAGCATCCCGCGGGAACGCAGCCCTCTAGTGCAGTCAGTACACAACGCTATGCTCATCATGTCTTACCAGGATCAGATGGGGACAGGGTTCCCAGCAGGGTCAGATGGGGACAGGGTTCCCAGCAGGGTCGGACAGCCAGGGAAGACCAGTCTACGGAGATCAGGTGCATTTTGCAGTATATTAACAATACATATCAGTGAATTATATAAAGTTCCATGTTCAGTTGATGGGTATACCTACAGTGGCTACATGACAGCAGCTTAAAGCCCTGTCATCTTCATATCATCTCAGACATACATCACTGCAGTTTAAGACCACCCATAGAACGTACTATATGCCAATGAAACTGAATATCATGCACTCAGAAATGTCATTCCTCTGCTGGAGGTGTAATACACAAAAGGGGACATATTTGCATGTTGTGGTCTTGTGAAGGCTGGCGGAATTCTGGAAAAGCTTATGTGCTTTTATCTCAGCATGTCTACAGATTCTCCCTTCCCCCTGTTTTTGTTTGCTTGGAAATGTTGATACTGGAGACTGTTATCAGAAGAAACTGTGTAACCAAGCATTTATAGCGGCTAAGAAATGCATTGCCATTTATTGGAAGGTTGGTTCTCCTCTCACAATGTCAAGTAGAAACCACTAGAAAAAAGACAGGAGGACCGAGACTCTCTTCATATAATTCATCAAAATGCCTTTATTTATATTTATATGGGATGTTCAATGGAAACTTTTTTTTTTTACTCTGACGCGTTTCGGCTGCATGGCCTTCGTCAGGGAGTATGTTATGCATCACTAGATTAGATTTATTACAAGATTAAGGGTCTACTTGGCAACTTTCATAAGGTCTGGATGCCTTATATGGAATACAGTACGACTAAAGGAGTCTGTACTGAAAACAGGCCAAGGGGAGATATCTGTTTAGGCAATCCCTAGCTGCTGGGCTGCTCAGTCCTGGCCCTGGGGGTCTGCTGGGCTGCTCAGTCCTGGCCCTGGGGGTCTGCTGGGCTGCTCAGTCCCGGCCCTGGGGGTCTGCTGGGCTGCTCAGTCCCGGCCCTGGGGGTCTGCTGGGCTGCTCAGTCCTGGCCCTGGGGGTCTGCTGGGCTGCTCAGTCCTGGCCCTGGGGGTCTGCTGGGCTGCTCAGTCCTGGCCCTGGGGGTCTGCTGGGCTGCTCAGTCCTGGCCCTGGGGGTCTGCTGGGCTGCTCAGTCCTGGCCCTGGGGGGCTACTGGGCTGCTCAGTCCTGGCCCTGGGGGTCTGCTGGGCTGCTCAGTCCTGGCCCTGGGGGTCTGCTGGGCTGCTCAGTCCCGGCCCTGGGGGTCTGCTGGGCTGCTCAGTCCCGGCCCTGGGGGTCTGCTGGGCTGCTCAGTCCCGGCCCTGGGGGTCTGCTGGGCTGCTCAGTCCCGGCCCTGGGGGTCTGCTGGGCTGCTCAGTCCCGGCCCTGGGGGTCTGCTGGGCTGCTCAGTCCTGGCCCTGGGGGTCTGCTGGGCTGCTCAGTCCTGGCCCTGGGGGGCTACTGGGCTGCTCAGTCCTGGCCCTGGGGGTCTGCTGGGCTGCTCAGTCCTGGCCCTGGGGGTCTGCTGGGCTGCTCAGTCCTGGCCCTGGGGGTCTGCTGGGCTGCTCAGTCCTGGCCCTGGGGGTCTGCTGGGCTGCTCAGTCCTGGCCCTGGGGGTCTGCCGTCCTGTGGGTTGTTACTCTGATCTTGGTCTAACACTCCTGAAACCAATAATGCATGTTTCACTATGATCCTAAAGCTGAGTGGGGTGTGTTGGGTTGTGATGGACCCCTAGGGGCAGGACGGGGCGACCCAGATATATTGTGTGCAAGTAGAAAGAGCTCTACAGTACTATTAGTCCGATGAGACTAATTATATGGAGGATTTGCTGTTTCTGTGTGTTAATGTACACTACCGGTCAAACGTTTTAGAACACCTACTCATTCAAGGGTTTTTCTTTATTTTTTACAATTTTCTACATTGTAGAATAATAGTGAAGACATCAAAACTATGAAATAACACATATGGAGTCATGTAGTAACCAAAAAAGTGTTAACCAAATCAAAATATATTTTATATTTGAGATTCTTCAAATAAACACCCTTTGCCTTGATGACAGCTTTGCACACTCTTGGCATTCTCTCAACCAGCTTAACCTGGAATGCTTTTCCATCAGTCTTGAAGGAGTTCCCACATATGCTGAGCACTTGTTGGCTGCTTTTCCTTCACTCTGCGGGGGATTGTGGAGGCCAGGTCATCTGATGCAGCACTCCATCACTCTCCTTCTTGGTAAAATAGCCCTTACACAGCCTGGAGGTGTGTTGGGTCATTGTCCTGTTGGAAAACAAATGATAGTCCCAAAAGCCCAAACCAGATGGGATGGCGTATCGCTGCAGAATGCTGTGGTAGCCATGCTGGTTAAGTGTGTCTTGAATTCTAAATAAATCACAGACAGTGTCACCAGAAAAGCACCCCCACACCATAACACCTCCTCCTCCATGCTTTACGGTGGGAACTACACATGCGGAGATCATCCGTTCACCCACATCGCGTCTCACAAAGACATGGCGGTTGGAACAAAAAATCTCACATTTGGCCTCCAGACCAAAGGACACATTTACACCGGTCTAATGTCCATTGCTCGTGTT